CCCCTCAAATCTTAGTCTAATTCTCTCCCTGCTCTGCTGAGGCTGGCCTGGCCTAAGAGGATTAGAGCATTTGCTAAATGAGTCCAGGACAGGGTCAGAGAACAGACTGCACGGAGACCCAGGGATCAGGATGGCCACAAGGGGGCAGCAGAGAAAACAGGAGCGGGAGGAACAGAGGGGCAGAGGGAAGGCGTAAGGAGGTGTCCCCACCCCAGGTTAGGGAGCAAGGGGGGCACACTCCCTGCCTCTTTAGGAAATAACATTTAAAGGATTAGGGTAGAGCCAACGTTCTTTGTTGATTTTTACTGTTTATTATGAATCTTTTTTTTTTTAAGGAGCCCTGCTGGCCCAAGGAGCCCTGGTGGCCCAGAGGTTAAGAGCTTGCCTGCTAACCCAAGGTTCAGCAGTTCGAATCCACCAGCTGCTCCCTGGAAACTCTATGGGGCAGTTCTATAGGGTTACTATGTTCTATAGGGTTACCATGAGTCAGAATCAGCTGGACAGCAAGGGGTTTTGTTTTTGGTTTTTGCTGGCCCAATGGTTAAACGTTTAGCTGTTAACCAAAAGGTTGGCAGTTTGAAGCAACCCAGCGGCTCCACAGGAGAAGGACCTGGTGATCTGCTTCCGTAAAGATTACAGCCTAGGAAACCCCATGGGGCAGTTCTACTCTGTCACATGGGGTCACTACAAGTCAGAATTGACTCATTGGCACCCAAAAAAAAAAAAAAAACAAATATTATGAATCTTTAGACAAGACACACCATTCCCCATCAAGAAAACCCCACTAATAGGTTGATCCATAGGATTTAAGGAGTCACTGGGTGGTGCAAATGGTTAACGTGCTCAGCTGCTAACTGAAAGTTTGGAGGTTTGAGTCTATCCAGAGGTGCCTCAGAAGAAAGGCCTGGCAATCCATTTCTGGAAAAGCAGCCACTGAAAATCCTATGGAGCACAGTTCTACTCTGACATACATGGAGTCGCCATGAGTTGGAGTCAACTCGATGGCAACTGTTTTTTTATTTTTTTAATAGATGTTCCGGTGGTAAAAATATTGAAATAAGAGCCTGAATTTGGTAAATATTCTCTCCCCAAAGAAGAGTGACCATCTCTCTCAGTTTGCCTGGGACTGAGGGGTTTCCTGGGATGGGGAACTTTCAGTACTAAAACCAGAACAGCCCTGAGCAAACCCCAGATATAGATGAGGAAACTGAGGCCCAGACAGGTACCATGGCCACACTCAAGGCGAGGTAAAGGCAGGATTTAAATCCAGACCCACTTGGCTCCACATCCGCCCTTAGCAAGAAGCCCCCAGCTCAGCCAGATTCAAGATCCTCCTCCTCAGTCCCTCCAGCCTCAATGGTCAGCCACAGTTGGCTCCACCATCCAATGGGGACATGGAGCTAGGGTGGCTGTACCCACTACCCAAGATGCTGCAGGTGAGGCGCCCTGAAGGAAGAGCGGCCAAGCGCGCCGGGTCACACAGCTAGCAGGACGCTATGTGGACCCAGGGCCCAGAGTCTCACTACACCCTGTGCTGGCACAAACCAGCCGACACAGCGAGGACCCAGACCGACGCCGTCAAGTTCTCCCTGTTCCCAGCCCCT